CGTCGTCCCGAGGTCATGAAAGTTGACATCTCCAAGTACAGTGGAGTCCCGGAGGACTCCCTGTTACTGTGGTTTGTCGAACTCGACAGAGCCCTAAGGGCTCGTCGCGTCGAAGATGAGCAAATGAAACTCACATTTGCTCAGACCCACTTGGCAGGGCGTGCCAAAACTTGGTCCCTGGGGCTCGAGAGTAGCGACCCACATGTGTTTAGGTCGCTAGAGGACTTCAAGTCCCGGCTCAGACAAACGTTTGAGCCGCCACGGGCTGAGTTCAGGGCTCGTTCAGAGCTCCTGAAACTCAAGCAGGGTAAGCGTGATGTGCACGCTTACGCACAACATATACGACTCCTCGCGAGTAGTATAACTGCTAACCCAGTTCATGAACACACGTTGATCACGGTGTTCATGCAAGGGCTCGCAGAAGGGCCCGTCAGGAGCCACCTGTTCACGCCTTGAGCTGAATACGCTTGAAGAAGCGATATCAGCCGCGGAACAGGAAGACTTTAGCATGAGACAGGCTCATGCTAGCTCAAACTCTTATCGTCCACCAAGACGACAAGAGATCGGAGGTCCAGAACCAATGGACCTCTGCTATGTTGAGAGCGAGAGACCTCGCTCTTCAAACAACAAGCGATTGCAGAGGTGCAATCGCTGTCAGAAGTTAGGGCACTACGCATATGAGTGTAGTGCTCCACGCCCAGTACCAAACAGTACTGAGCGAAATGGACGACCATTTGCCAGAAAGGGCAATGGGCGTGGGTCCAGCGCTGTTGCGAAGCCGCAACAGCGAGACGGACCATCAAAAAATGGTCGGGGTCAGTAGGGGCAGAGCGCCCTACTGATCCAGCAACCTCAAGAGAATTTGCAAATCTCTTGACAAAAGTTGCTCCAGATACACAATCATTGTGTGTCTACCGATTCACGACGTGCCAGACCGACTTCGTCAGGAACACGCCACGCATGTAGCGGCTCCATGTAGCGAAGTTGTCGCCGTTGAACTTGTCGATGACGACCTTGGTCGAGGCATCGTTGGCAGATAACATCGTGCTTGGGCTCCTATCCTGATGGAAGGTATGGATCTTGAATGACGAGAGGCTTGAAGGAGACGGAGGGAGGTCACACCGAAGACCGGAGTGAAGACACTTGTGGGTTGAAAGGAGATGTAAAAGTGCTTGATCTATGAGTCCAAACTGTGCCTAACCTAGACTGCATCCAATTACATGGTGCATCGAATCAACCTGATTTAAACGCGTCCAATCATCCTACGCGTCTAATCAACTCTGAGGTAATTACCGACGTAAAACCTATCCCGTACCAACTACGCTTGAAGCTCGGATTGTACCAATGAACTTCAATAGAGACTTATCACCACTTGTCCGGCGTCAATGTCGACCACACGATACGCATTGGACACTTCTTCATAGCACATGAAACTTCCAATGCGCGCCTTCGGGTCCCACTTGAGACGCTTCTCCTTCGATTTCAAAATGTACGCTTGTCATCCGAAGACCTGCATGTGTTTGACGCTTGGCTTCGACTTGCACACGATCTCGAACGGTGTGACTTTTGTTGGATCTCGGGTGATGGCAGACGATGTTTGACGTAGACGGCCGTCATTGCTGCTTCAGCCCAGAAACACTTGTCCAACTTGGTATGATGCAGCAAACGGAGACCGATCGTGATGATAGTCCGTAAGGCACGTTTCTCAGTGCCGTTTGTCTGGTGTGCGTGCACCGTCGTTTGCTACTCAATGGCTTCTTCTTCGTAAAACGTCTTGAGCGAGTTGGACGCGAACTCTCGCGCTCCATCATTGCGAACGAACTTAACCTTCTTGCCAAATGGAGTCTGGATCTTGACGATGTAGTTCTTGATGCAGTCTTCCGTCTCCGACCTGGTCCGCAAATAGAAACCATTCATGCAGCCACTGGCTTCGTCCACGATCAGCAGCATATATTTTCTGCCGCCGATCGAGACATCTTTCAAAGGGCCGCAGATGTTGGAGTGGCGAAGCTCAAACGTGTCGTAACAGCGTTTGTCACGGCTGCTTGGAAACGGTTTTTGGACCATCTTCCCTTGTTGGCATCCACGACAAACGCTTGATCCACTCGACTTCGATGGCACCTTTGTATCTTTGATCATTTCAGTGTTCACCATCTTGCAAAGAACATCAATTGGTGCATGACCCGTCCGCAAGTGAAGATCGATGACTTGGTCACTCGTTGCCGCAAGCGCCGATCGATGTGACATCCGAAGCCAGTAAAGTCCATCGACGAGATAAGCGGTGGCCGCCACTTGAGTCGAGTTCTTGTGCGTCACGGGTATCATAGAGCCTTCGAACACGACTTAATATTTACCGCTCTCGTTGATCTGCGGTACCGATAACAGGTTCTTGCCCATGTTTGGCACGAACTGCACGTCCTTGATCTCTATCTCGCGCTCGATTCTAGTTGGCAGGGCCACTATCTCCACGATGGTTCCAACGCCCTTGATAGCAGCTTTGCTTCCGTCAGCCACCGACAGTTCGACTTCATCCCGCTCGTTGAGACTTGCAAACTTGGTCTGGTCGTTGCCGATGTGGTGCGTCGCACCACTGTCGACTGCCCACATCCCTGGTAAATTCTTACCGGTCGTAAGTCCACACTCGAGCGAGACTGCACACGCCACTCGGTCAAAGTCGTCACGGTAGTTGTTGTTGTCCCTTTGCTGAACATTGTTGGCTCCGCGTCCACGATTGTTGCCGCCGCGTCGAGCGCGTTGGTTCTGATCTTTCTGCTTGGTCCAGCACCGCTCCTCCGTGGGCCTCAATTTACGCAGTGTGTACATTGACGAGGTTCACGCTCGGCACTGAACGCCTTCGTAGCGTCTTCAGTCTTCACCGATGCCGTCTTGTTTCCTTGACGCTTGATGTGTTCATTTGTCAGCACTCTCACGACGTCGCGCGATCGCATATCCGCCCTGATCATCTTCAAGTTCAGCACGACATTCTCGTCGCTTTAAAGTGCACAAAATGAGCGTGTTGGTGGCGGCAATTGAGACAAGGCATTCGTTTTATTTTAATAGGACGATGAAGTCGACGAGACCAAAAGATGTGATGAGTTGAACCGTGTAAGTAAGTTCTGTTCGTGTTAGAGGTAAGAGAGTGGTGATGTGTATTGATTAGGGGTATATATGGACGGCTCGGCAGACAGATTCATGCTGCCAGCTGTCGTTCCGCTGTATATTTCGTTGGGCCGAACGGCATTTGAGTGTGTTTCGCTGCTTGATAAAGCACAAGCATGACGCGATGCTATGACTACTTGATTACATTCGCACTAACGCTCTCTTCGGCGTTCTGCCGCAAGGAGGCGTCGCCACAATGTCTCCACCGCTATCCTGTATGGCTTCGAGCTCACTGGAAACACTGTCACATCTACGAGGTGACTGACATCAGTATGCGACTTCGATGGGCCGACAAAGTTGCCATGCAGACGCTCGAAGCACTGCCGCTGGTGTTTGTGAAGACGTACATGTTTCCAGGCTTTGTGCTTACTGGCATGGCAGCATCGTCTGCGTTTTAACTCATCGGCCTTACTAAAGTAATGGGCCGGTAATCCATTGCCTATGAGCTGTCAGTGTATGCTCGAAGGAGGACGCGAGACCGACGGACGGTGGAGGTGTCAGTCTTTGAGCTGTCATCGATGCCGACGACTGTGGTGCGGTTATCTTGTCGTAATGTGCCAATATCAGGCAATTTCGATCTGGTAATTAAGACGGGTGACTGCACTGTTGGTGTATTTGTTGATGGTTTTGTAGGTGTTGGTGCTGGTGTTGTTGGTGTTGTTGTAGTAGTAGAAGTAGTAGTAGTAGTAGTTGTAGTAGTAGTAGTAGTAGTAGACGTAGTAGACGTAGTAGTAGTAGTAGTAGTAGTAGTAGTAGTAGTAGTAGTAGTAGTAGTAGTAGTAGTAGTAGTAGTAGTAGTAGTAGTAGTAGTAGTAGTAGTAGTAGTAGTAGTAGTAGTAGTAGTAGTAGTAGTAGTAGTAGTAGTAGTAGTAGTAGTAGTAGTAGTAGTAGTAGTAGTAGTAGTAGTAGTAGTAGTAGTAGTAGTAGTAGTAGTAGTAGTAGTAGTAGTAGTAGTAGTAGTAGTAGTAGTAGTAGTAGTAGTAGTAGTAGTTGTTGTTGTTGTTGTTGTTGTTGTTGTTGTTGTTGTTGTTGTTGTTGTTGTTGTTGTTGTTGTTGTTGTTGTTGTTGTTGTTGTTGTTGTTGTTGTTGTTGTTGTTGTTGTTGTTGTTGTTGTTGTTGTTGTTGTTGTAGTAGTTGTTGTTGTTGTTGTTGTTGTTGTTGTTGGTAGCGGTGGCGGTGGTGGTGGCGGCGGTGGTGGCGGCGGTGGTGGCTGTGGTGGCTTAAAAGTGGAATGGATACAAGGACCTTGGTATGACGTTCAATTGCCATGCTATGTCGTTTGCAAGTGACCCCTTATCGAGCACGTGCGTGCAAAGGTTCTCACGTTACTTGCGATAGCTGCTTGTAATGCGGGGACTGCTAGCGTGTGGCGTGCGCGAACATTATCTTGAGAACGCTATGTTGGGCGTCCACATCCTGGCACGCGACAGAAGAAGATTGCCATTCCGTTTCGTGCTGCGTATGTCCCGCCAGAGAGGTCGGAGTTCAGCGATCCTGATGTTTGTATCGTGTTCACTCTGCTCGTATATCACTACGCTAATTCGACGAAGGAGGAGGTCCTATGTGCTTTGCAGATGCTGTGGAGCTTGGACACCTCGAATCAGGAACATCGATACGATGGATGGTTTGCTAGTGTCGAGCAAGGCTTAAATGACAATGACCGAATGGCTCTGTGCAATGTGCTGCGTATCAGTCTTACCGACAGTCGACAGTTCGAGACGTTGCGTCGAATCTGCTACTACTGCATGGAGGCGATAAATGTTCACCTGAACACCTTTTTTGCGAGGGCGGTATACATACGAGAGGCCACGGAACTATACGGTGATATCAGTAGTCTGAGCATGTCACTCCTTTGCACGATCAAAGTAGGGCACGTGTAACGTCGTTGTACTCGAGATTAAGTTCGTGGAGACGTGTGGGGGATCCACCAGCTTCCCCGCACGTCCTATACTCTCAACCTCTCTGACGGCTTCGCAGCATAAGAAAAGCTGAGGGATGTACGATGCTCGGACGTTGACCGACTCTGACTACGCAAAAATAGCGTGCCAAGAATAAGCAGCAGATCGGCAACTTCTCCAAGGCACTCAACCGTTTTCAGAAAGAAGACCCGACGTTCCGCGCTTTTGTTGATGATGACAGCAAGGAGACAGTCATAAGCGGTATGGGCGAGCTTCATCTGCAGATCTACGTGGAGCGTATGAAGCGTGCATACAGCGTGGACGTGGAAACCGGCGCGCCGCAAGTGAACTACCGCGAGACGATTCGCCAGCACAGCGAGTTCAACTATCTTCATCAGAAGCAAACTGGCGGGCGGTTCGGGTCAATTCGCGCGTGTGGTAGGATACATTGAGCCACTTACGGACGAAGAGGTCGAAGAGCTTAGTAACGAGGGAAATAGCTCGGGCGTCGTCTTCGAAAACGCAATTATTGGCACGCGATTTCACCCGAGTACATCGCAGCTTGCTCGAAGGGTGTCAACGACGCAATCCAGAAAGGGTGGCTCATTGGTCACCCGGTGCAGCGCATGCGTGTGGTGGCCAATGACGGTCAGTCACACTCGGTAGATTCCAGCGAGCTTGCTTTCCGCACAGCTATGGTGCTAGCTATTCGCCAAGCGTTTATGAAGGCCAACCGTGGATCGTCGAGCCCGTCATGGCGTTGGAGGTGGAAGTGCCCAACGAGTTCCAAGGTACGGCCATTGCCGAGGTGAACCGTTGCCGCGGTCTCATTAACAGCAGCGATGCCGATGACATGCACGCGGTCATTAAGTGCGACGTACCACTGCAAAACATGTTTGGTTTCTCGACGGATTTGCGGTCATCCACTCAAGGCAAGGGCGAGTTCACGATGGAGTACAAGACACATGGCATTGTCATGCGTGACATGCAGGAGAAGCTGATGAGCGAGCACGAAAAGGCGCAAGCGGCTAAGAACAAGTAGGTGTCCGGGTGCTTGGATTTTGCTCGCTACGACATGTGCATAGGCGAACTCTGCAACGGTTGGCGATAGACAATGTTGTAGGATACCAGATAGAAGAGACTCGGTATTCAGCAACATGACAAACGAAGCTGATTCATGAATCTAGAATTTCCACAAGCACCATGTGTACGAACAATGGAGGTACACCTAGTGAAAGGCGAGTAGTATGTTCATCGTTTCGGCCTGATAAAGAAAGACGTGGATTGCTGTAAGTCTCCACTATACCGACAGCTTTGTCGATAAAAGATCGACATAGTCGCCCGGCAGTCATTCGATCTGGCGTCCATTTTGACTCGTTCCAAAATGACGCTGAGACGCGAGAAGGCCTCGATCTTGAAGATTAGCTGATAGAATGAAGGAGAGCAAAAGAATGAGAATGAATTCATTCAGCAAGAGCTGGCAAGCTCTTCCAACCTCTGGGTATAGTTTGGATGCCTACATCGTGTGAGATTGCGAATGTTAGGTAGTTGCGATATTGAGTACGTACGTACTCAATGGAGCGTGTACGTAAAGGGAAGAAGTGGTTGTCGTAAGTGAATGTGACCTGGTGAGAGATATAACATCCCATGCAGTACCTGCCAGAAGCTAGACGTTCACATGGTGCGGTAGAAGGAGACGCGACAGCAGCAAAGTTATTATACGGTAGTGTCAGTTTGTCAATTGCGGAGTCAAGAAGAGATGGGGTCCTTTTGAGGGCTTCAGAGACCATAAGAAGTAAATGTGAAGAATGCATTGATCTGCAAGCGTCGTTACTAATAACGTATATAACACATATCGCGAGTGATGACAAGACCACGACGCACTGCTTGATCAAGGACAGATGCACGGAGGTAGTCAAAAGAGGGAGTACGAGCTATCACCGAGCATAGGAAGTAGTGCACACATCGCGACTTGAGACCGACAGCAACATCCCGGCGATGTTGTTTATGGCACTTTGAGTCTACTAGCTCATTTAGCAACAATCCTTGTACGACGCTCGTTCCCGACAAAGATAGCAAGCACTCTCGCCATCGTGTCGTTTATGACACTTTGAGTCTACTAGCTCATTTAGCAACAACCCTTGTACGACGCTCGTTCCCGACAAAGATAGCAAGCACTCTCGCCATCGGATGCTGAAGAGCAAGGCGCGATGATACGATTGCCATTGTTTTCCACGACACGGTCGGAACAAATGCAAAGCAATAAGCTCAAGACAGCTCTCAACACCACAATTGATTTGAGGAATCGAAAGCGGGTAGAACACCGACAGGATGATCTTCCTGTATCCCATGTTCATTTCCATATTATGCGACGGGATTGTTGACCGCCGCGCTCGAAAAGCGCAATCCCTCCATATCGTAGATTCTGCCTTCCTCTTCGATGACAAAAAGTGATGACAAGGTCATGCCAGCGACGCACAGCTAGGGGGTGATTGCTCTAGATCCGATCCGCGGACTGACACCATGGCAGAAGATGGTTCTTTTCGCCATGGACAAGAACGCACATCGTCTGATCGACACTGGTGCGCTTCTAGCGGGTGTGATAAAGAGCAGGGATTGTGTTCTCCAGCAGCCCGGCTTTGTAGTTGCTGGAGCGATGTACTTTGGTGGCCGAAAATAGCGCAGCTGCTGGATGATCGTAGAGGAGGTTCGGAGGATAACGTTGCCCAGGGAAAAGCCTCCGATGCTGGAGAAGGAGATGTATGTCAGTTTTGACGAAGTACGCTCGCGAGGGTCAGACATGAAGCATCTACAAGATGCATCCGCTGTTCTTACATTTGCACCAAATCTCACGAAGGACAAGTTGGTGCAAGGTGCAGGGGACGGATGAGGCATCTCGAATGCGACCAGCCGCTTTCGAGTGCAAGTTTCGACGAGGTGGCGCAGACAGTCCTACCAACAAGTGGCCAGCGATTGCGGAAGGATCGGACGCAGAAGAAGATGGAGACGATGAGGTGACTAGGATGAAGGTGACTAGGATGAAGACAGTGACACGATCGATAGCATCGATCCTCATGGAGGAACCACAGACGTTGGATAGCATACAGGAGGACAATTACGTGATACCTGCTGGCCAATTGTCCAGGTTGCGATTGCCACACGAGTTTGCTGTGGCAGAGGGCTGTTGCAAAAGACAATGGCGATGTTTGCGCTGAATTTGATGCATGTAGCTATGTGCAAGGCACATAGCAGTTTCCATAGCGGCGTGTGTATAATAGTCGGGTGTGACGCCGTGGCTGACCTGTTTTACTTGCTGCAAGTTGTTATTCGAACCGACCGCTGTGAAGCTGTTTGAGCTCGGGTGTGATATTTCATCTTTCGGGCATCAGTCCAGCGATATGCGAACGAGCGTTGATGCGCTCGTCAACTTGTTGTGCGACAAGAACAGGTTGCGTTAGTGTCTACCAGCGTACGCAGCATTGCAGCAGCTCCAACAACTTCAAGGACGAGTTCAAGCAGACGAACCCTATCGAGAAAAGTTCAAGAATGCTGGAGCTAACACGGCGGAGCGCCACCTGCATGTAGCGAAGAACCGAAAATCATGCGGTGTCCCAAACCAAAACGGAGCGACGCGCAGTTTGAGCTCTTGGATCGACTGAGAATAATCGATTAAAGCCTCGAAGTCGCACAAGTGTTTGTTCGCATCGCGGACGATCGACTCTTTTTATGTTTGCAAGGGTCGATGATACATCCGCCTGAACAAAGACGGCGTACATACGTACATTGGTAAGTAGAGAGCCCTTGCGTTTCGGACGCATTGTGATTGGTGCGTTTCTGTGTTTCTTTTCGTCGAATCACAAGACGGGATGTGTCGCTGCGTTCGTTCGCGCGCATTTTCACGCTGTCGACCGACGCGAACGAGCGCGCAGGCGCTTTGCGTGCGCTCCTCGTCGGGTCCCTCGCGCCCCACTGCGGACTGCTCGAGACCCAGTTACGCATGCAGTACGTCGTCCTCTCGTCCCTTTCCGGTGGCGACTCGGCGACGCTCCGGCGAATGGACGCGGGCTCGCAGACGTTCGTGTGTGTCGTGTGGGCTGCCGCCGTCGTTGGCATTGGCGGCCTCCACCAGCGCTCGATCCACAGAGGCCTCTTGTGCTGTCGGCCACGTGCAGCTCGGACCGGTGGAAAACCAGCTGCTGGAGGTGCTGACGGCGCGACGCTTCCAGACGAGACACTCACGGAGCGCTTACGACTCGTGGGCGAGAACTGGTTTGCGACGGTGGCCAGTGGCACTGCGTTTTGCACGGACTGTGGCGACGCGATGCCGTCAGGAGACGCGAACCCGGACGTGTGCATGTCTCAGTCGTAGATGCCGTCACAAGACGCGAAACCGAACGTGCGCATGTTGCAGGCGCGGATGTTGTCGGTCACGATGAACAGCAAGAGCCAAGTGCTGGAGCGGAGGCGGCAATTGGCGTATCGTACGTACCTCAGCACAACGGCGTTTGTGGACCCGAAGCACGCGAAGGACGGCGGTGTGAGAATGATGGACAGTGACCGCAGTATCCGCTGGATGGACTCTGGCGTGCAAGGCCCGGAGACCCAGGTGTCGTACATGCAGACTCCTGCAGACTTCTCAGTACGTTGAGTAGACGCCCCAGTTTACGGTCACGAATGATCCGTGCGGGCACAGGAATACTATTCTCGTTGACATGGTGTGCAGCGTGGCCGTGATGGTTTCGACTCGGCAGCTTTTGCTGGTACGAATGCTGTGTTCTGTCGCCAAGCCTTTGACCCGATTGGTGGCTTTCAGTACGGTATACTTAGACTGACGATGCGTTTACGAGAACGTGGTTCACACTCCTGGCTGGGACTCGATGTACTTTTGCAAGGATTTTCGAGAGCGATGCCAAACACCGTATCCGATTGTGCGAAGGTGCTGTGCCTAAAACAGAGGCTAATGCTATGGGCTAGAAGAAGCGTTGGGCGAAGGGTTCTGTGGATATTCTGCTGATGCCAAATGGGCGCGAAGTCGACCCGGACTGGCGTCTGCCGCGCATGCCTGCCTTGGACCCGAAGTCGTCCCTCACGTTCCCGCGCAAGATGTTTATCTACGGCTCGGTGATGTACCCGTTCGATTCGATTCCTGCTCTGTGTTACGTGGCGATCGCCGTCTACTACTTGTGCACGGGAGACGCGCCGATATACGCTCGTCAATCTACGCTCGTGGAACGAAGTTTCTGTACTCTTTCTAGCTCGTGACGTTGTGCCGTTGGGTGCTGAACCTGCCGGCCAACCGCGCAGTTGACAACAACGACGTGTGGCGTATGCAGCAGGCATGGCTTTCGTTGTCTTCCATTACGATGATGGCAGTTTTGAAGCCGTATAGGCGCGTATGACGGGGAAGGACAAGTCATGGGCAAACACGGGTGCTGGTCAGAAGACGCCGTGGACGGAAATCCAGAATGTGCTTTTCTTCTTCACGCTGCTGTTCAGTCAGCTCGTGGCACTCGTTCGTTTTTTTCGAGCACGAGTACATGACGAATCCGTGGAACTACGTGTCTGCCATGTTCTGTGGATTTTTCGTCATGAGCCAGTTGTACCCCATGGTCAAGAAGCGTGTTCCCGAGTCCAGCGGCTGGGACCATACTGCTGCCACCTTTACGGTGAACATGTTTGGCTTGTTGCTCGTGGTCTACAGTGTAGTCTTCGTGAAGCTATGGCAAGCCTACTACGCGGGCAATCTCCAGGTGGCCCAAGGCATCGTAGCAGGCACGAATGACCCGGTGGCGGCGAAGACGAACTGGACGCACCGGATTGTGTTGCAAAGACGCGGATGGTGTTTGCCGACGAGGAGCAGAAGGAGACACAGGATGCGATGCATGCCGAGCGCAGGTGACGAGAAGCGGTGGTGTGGTCTATCTGGCGAGCCGGAGACGCGCTCGCAAGTGCGCGCTGTCGTCGACGCTTTCCCTCTAGTACTTGAGGTGTCATTACAGTTTGCCGTCAATGCCGAGTTGTCGGTCCTTGCGATGTGGGCACTGCTGTCCATCCTCTCGTGCACTTATGTCTTGTCCACGCGTGGTAATGGCGCCAAACGGTATGTGTCATTGAGTATACGCGACGTTGGCCACCTCTGCTCGCCCGTCTTTGGTCTGACGGACGTGCAGTGAATCGTTACGTGTTGTGGTCGCACTTGTACTGAGGATGTAGGAAGTGAAAGTAATATATTTTGAGAGTAAATTTCAGTCGGTTGTTAACCATACCTTTTGCACTTGTTCCGGTCAAGTTACACGTGGTACACGTTTAGCATGCCCATCAACATGTGCTGGCTGTAAACAATGTCGTCCGGATATCGCTGTCTCACTCATCAACTCCTGATAGTCCGACATGACGACCCTCTTCTCTCGTACCATATATCCACCAGTCACATCTTCGTCCTACCTGTCAGCTTATTAGCCAATCAGGTGAGATCGGGACGTACCTGTAACGGGTCTTGCAGTTGAACGCGGGAACTTCGATGACCTGTCAGAAAGCATATCTTCTAACACATGCCTTGCTATGACGCTTTGCAAGGGGTACGAATGCCGCAGCGTAGCGCTTATTTGCTTGTTTGTTCGAGCATGGACTACTACACTGTACGGCAATCGACGAGCACGGAGGAACTACTTTTGCTCAAGAGGAGACTAACGTTAACAAGCCAACTGCAATCGTAATAATACACTTAGTTTTGTTACTCACTTCAATAAGAACTACGTTTTCGTTTGTCTTTCATGGGGCTATCGACACCTATACGCTCTAGAACGTCGGAGCCAAGCACACCAACAGCACGCGTAGCAAGCAATCGCAATGATGACGAAGAGTAATGAGTCTTCATCAGTCACTGCGAATGCATGCCACGCTCAACTTCGTCCAAAAACACGCCACGTTCCACAGCTTCAACGGGGGTAATGAGCCCCGAAAAATAGCGGATCGCAACGCGTTCTCGAACAAAGTCTGCTGCCATGCCTTGACCGCACCACGTTCCGGAGCCTTCGGTGAGCGATGGGCTCCAGGAGACGCAACAGAGAGCAATGGGTCTCTGGAGCGCCAATCCCGGAAGCTCCGTTGCCCTCTTCTGGCAACGTGTGTGTGGCTTAACACCCGTTGCCCAGCGCGATGCGTCTTCCTCCAGTCTTCACGCGCGTCTGGTTTTTTGCTGACGGAATCCTTGAAGCAACAGTACCGGCAGTCGCAGCAATGATCGCACGGGCAGCAGCAGTGGATTCCACACGCGCACGAGTGGATACTGTGCTTGCAGTCACACCAACACGCGCTCGAGCAGTAGTCGCTGGACGAACACGCGCACGGGAACCAGTAGTAGGTCCAGCGCCCACTCTCGCAGCGGCGTCCTTGCCGCTTGCAAGCACACGAGCGCGTTCATCTTGGCCGGTTCTGGTTTTCTCGCGAGGCGTCGTGCTTGTCGTGGTTGCCGCTGCGACTGCCTTCACATGTGTCTTCTGCTGCATACGTGCCTTGTTCTTGCCCGTCGCTTCCGGACTGCTGTCTTGGAAGTCCTTCTGCTGCAGCACCAGCTGCAACTCGGACTCGCGCTGGACCTTGAGCTGGCCTTGCGTGGCCTTCAGCAGCTGCTTCTCCAGTCTTGCACTTGTGGCCTCGGCCTTTTCGGCGCGTTTCCGGAGCGCCAGCACTTCACTCTCCATCTTGCGCCGCGACTCGATACCTTCGACTCGCTCGTTTTCTGCCACCCTTGCCATGTCCGCTCGCAGCGCACTGAGGTGCGTCAGCGAAATGACTTGTTCCTGCAGCGCATCGTTCGCGCGTTGGAGCTCGCTGCACGAATGCAAGATTGCTTTGCATGTGCTTTGGATGAACGTTTCCGTGGTGTTCATTGCGAATGGGAGAGCAGAATGGAAAATGACAAAGAAGCACGCGGGGCGGCGGCGGAGTGGTCATGGAAAAGATTCATTCATTAACGTTAAGCGAAGCGGATATGGAAAATGGACTACTTCAACTGTAAGAGAAGTGGCCTGAGACGCGGCGGTGAGCCAAGTTGAAAATGGAGTAAAATGGCGCAAAAAACGGGCGCGCGGGTGGCGGCAATTGGGACAAGTCATTCATTTTATTTAAATGAGACGACGAAGTCGACGAGACCAAAAAGATGTGATGGGTTGATCCGTGTAAGTAGGTTTTATTCGTGTTGAAGGTAAGAGAGTGGCGATGTATAGTGATGAGAGGTAGTTCTAGACGGCCAAACAGAAAATTTCATGCTGCCAGCTATCGTTTTGCTGTATATTCCGCAGTGTCGAAAGGCAATTAAGCATGTTTCGCTACTTGACAAAGCACAAGCTTGACATGATACTATGTCTAGCGTGTTTACCTTCGCGCTAACGCTCTCTCTGGGGTTCAGCACCATGGAGGCGTCGCCACAATGCTACTATCGCTATCCTCAAAGTTGACGCTGACATAACCGTATATTTTCTTGATGTCTTGTCGTTCTTATCTTCATTGCGCGGACTACCAGCTTCCTCCGATTCCCTGGCCGGTAATGCCCCATCGCGCTCGTCAGGTCACACGCACTCGTCCCACATCACCCGATGCTCCTGGTGACGTGCCAGCGAACCACCGCCACACAGTGCCATAACCTAGGAGCCTTCGAACCATCCACAAGCGTACAATGTTAGTCAGTGTGCTCGATTCCTATCGCAAATGTTGCCATCATCCTTACATGCTGTGGAAAAAGACACGACAGTCCGAGCTAGCAAAACAAACTGCAGCGTCGTCGCAAGATCACATGCCATGCTACACCAGCCCGCGAAGGATGGGCAAATTCGACAAGCGATACGAGAGTGAGTGGCCGAGTTTCCAATGTAGCCTACAAATTGCTACGGGGCCGCTGCACAGGAGTACGCAACCGAGCACGGATGGGATCATTTTCGG